TGCATGGACTTAGATACGAGAGTGATGTCACAAAGGCTGTAGAAAATCACATGCCCATTTACCGTCCATGAGGACACGGTCTGCACCCGCCCCTTCAAAACCAAAGTGACATATTACCTTAATATGTTATCAAAAGAAATTAATGATTATTGAACCCTCTTCATTAGTTATTGAACCCTGTTCAAAATTTGACTTATTTTGCCCTTGAAAATGTGGCGACCTTTTCTTTTCCTTCTTTTTCTTCTTCTTCTTAATAATACCATAATTTATCAACATTATTGTAATTATTATTGTTAACATCATTATCTTTAATATCATTACTGTCATCATCTTCATTATCATCAATATTTGTTTTATCAATATTATTATTATAAATTTGTTTATTTATTTATCACATTATATACATTTTTTCTTTCTTTACACAATCCTGGATACGCCTCTACATAGCCCAATTAGGATTAAGGAATTTGACACGTTACCACAATCCATAAAGTCTTGAGCAGAGCCTAGATCTATCAGTTTCTGACTCTGTCAAACAAGACCCATCGTAGTCTCAATGTGCAGACACTGTTGCACACATCGACTGCCTAGAGTCAGTGTCCCTGCAAACTATATAGAACGATGAATGCTTAATTGGTACTGGAAACATAAACATAAAACACGTCAGCGACGGTAGACATGCCTTATAGAGATGATATAATTTTATGTATCTCAATTTATTAACCATTAAATGAAGTCAATGATCTCAAGCTACCCGTCTTAATCATGTTAATTACCAGTGTTTAAAAGGGCAACACAAATGGGTACAAGTAATATACATGTACATCACATTTGCAATACAAGTGCTAATACATGAAACACAATTTTCAAAAACAAAAACAAAAACGGAGGAAGCAAATTATTGTGTTAATATATATTTTTCGTTTGTTAATTTGATATGTTGCTATACTTACCATAAATCATTCATTATGTTTATTGTGATGTACAGGTAATTAATTTCATAAACTGTTCAGCAATCATCACGAGAAAATGCACTGATCAACTCATATTTTAACATGATATTCCTGGAAATAAAAATACACCATCAAATAACAATATTTACAAACAGTCAGTATTGTTTACAGGTCACAGTGAATCACATGAAATCATTTTTTTTTTTAAATAAAAAATTATACAATGATTTAAAAATAAGCTTGGCTGACGTGGGAATATGTTTTTTTTTTTTACCATTCCATGCACGAGCATGCGATGGGAAAGGATCTGCAATAAAACTCTTTGAGCCATGACTGTGTCACTATTTAACATTCCAACGTTTGTCGCAAAATCTAACCATTCCGTTATTACTTCAAATTCTGGGATTAATTTTTGAACAGAATTGTTAGCTTTTACTCAGCAGGTAGTCGACTGTTACGCACTTCAACAAAAGTTGCTATTGTTGAAAGGTATTCGTCGGAAATAAATGCAATAGAAAATAATGACAAGTGTTCTTAATGGTATTGTGGATAAATAGTTTTTATGTTCCAATTTCCAAGGGAACAAATCTCATTTTTCATATTCATTTTTAATATATCATGTTTTGTAAAAAAAATTGTAGAGCGTTTGTCTTTACATCCGTCAATAAAGGGAAATGAATGTCAATATCGCTTACTTGTAATGAATGTTAATGAAAATAATTAGTTGGAATTACAGTGCTGAAACACCCCCCCCCCTCTTTTTCTTCCTCTCTCTCTCTCCCTGTTTTCTGCCTCTCTTCTGTCTTCCTGCCTCGCCCACCCCCTTTCTCTTGCTCTCTCCTTCTTTCCATGCACTTCGTGATATTTAATGAAATATAATCGTAATTATGCATATTTTGGCTCCACTGATCCCCCCCCCTCCCGTACCTCCAGTTTATTTCTTATAAAGAGAAGGTTCAATCCTGGAAAAGGTGATTAATTTGTGTGAGCCTTTAATATGTTAGTGCATGTTGGAGAGTATCGTAGAAAAAGATCTCCCTGAAAAGGACGGCTCTTCAAATACCCTCATATTCAAAATATGACAATGTACAGCTAAAGGTCTTGGACCACAATAATGCCACATGTAAGTGTAGTCCCATATACCCATTTCGGTGTACAGAGCATGTGTTTAGACCAATTTGCATATCCTTTTGAAGATTCCCAAACCTCGGGGTATACAGCATTACGTATGTGCTACCTAATCAACCTTTTCCAATCACTCCCAAACAGTTTCTTCAGAACTCAACTTTATCTTTAAAGAAAAAAGACACAAGAGAGCAAGCTAAAGGAGTATATTATTATTATACCCGCGTCAGTGGCGTGGCGTAGGTCCAGTCATTGAGGGGGGGGGGGGGTGGTCCTGCATCCATGGACTGGGGGAGAGGCACCAGGCTTACTTAGTAGAAGGTATGCGATTGAACAAAGCGATCGAGTCAGGAGAAAATGTCGACAATGTAACATCATAATCCCCTCTCCCTCTCTAGTAAGCGTCCTTTCTTCGCCATTGAATGGGAGGGGGAGGGGCGTCCCCCGTGCCCCTACTGCTACGCCTCTACTCCAGCGTTTTTTGATAGAAACCTGTGATGCTGTGCTCGTAGATGGTACATGTCGAGTTTATTAGCAGAAATATTAAGTGTAAGATGGAAGTATCCCGCTGCGAATCGAGGTAGGGTACGACACCGATTGGCGACAGCCAGGAATTCTTGTGGTCACCTCGAGAAAAAAAACTTGAATCCTGCGAAACCAAGAGGTGTAAAAATACTCATCTTAAAAGGAAAAGGACAAGAAAAGAAAACAGAAGGGAAAAAAGAAGTATTAAATAATAATTCAGAAAGATGCCAATGGAATAAAACAACTTCCCTTTTCAGCGAATTCTTTTCGGAGATAATACGTTTGCTCATTACTATAAACAGAAGCGGGACATGTACATTTAGGCCCACATAATGTTAGTGCGGAAGCCCATCACATTTTTATTTAACATACAAAATTTGTTGTTCTGTAACCTTCCAAAAAAGACGTCACAAAACTTCAACGACTTCAAAATTCTGCAGCCCGGCTATTAACATTCACAAAAAAATCTGATTCCATATATCACCAACTCTCCATTCTCTCCATTGGTTGCCAGTTGATACCGGCGCTATATAAATAACCATATTATTATTATTGTTACTACATGTAGTGCATCATTCAGTTTACTTTCTTATTTCCCCTACATACAACGTACCTGAGCAACTCTCTTTCAAAATACAATCCCACACAAAGTCTTCGCTCGTCATCAGACATGCTATTGCTTCATACACCTAGAATTAAACATGCTTGGGGCGATCGGGCTTTCTCAACCATGAGTCCAAAACTCTGGAATGAACTCCCTCTACAAATACGTCTACTGTCGTCAACAGAAACATTCAAATCACATCTGAAAACTTGTTTTTTTCTTTGTAATTATTGCATTTTGTTTTTTGTTTTTTTGTTTCTTATGTTTGTTACATTTATTTTTCTCTATTAAAGCGCCATGAGCACCGAAAGGTGGACCTGTGCGCTATACAAGTAGCAATTATTATTATGTTACAATAAATTGAGAACATATAATCTATTTAAGCAGAGTATACAAACAGAGACTTTTTTATTAACCGTTAAAAACTGTAGACTACGTACAAACCAATATTTGCCGATTTAGAACGGTAAACCGGAAGACAAACAACTGTAGACCTCTGGTAAAAAATACCTTCACATTTAAGAACTTGTAATGACTGTAACTTTGGAAGGGTTGGTGATAAATTTCAAACGTAGCGGTGTTGTGGACTAGTGGATAAGTCACCCAACTGCAGTACGGGGTTCAAGTCCTGCCGTGGCACTAATGTTCTTTAGCAAGACTTTAATCTACATTTGCCATTCTCCACCCAGGTGTAAATGGGTACCTGATATGCTTGAGCGCTAGTTACTTTGGCAGCTCGGCTACGTCCAGGGTAATACATGTAGTAAAGGGCAATGAGCTTCACTACATGTATATACGTTAAATAACAATATTATTATACCACAATGGATTGTACTGTACATGTATACAGTATAAGGCTGAAAGGGGGGTATTTCTCAAAGATCCCAAGTCAAACTTAACTCTAAGTTGGACTTAAATATTATGGAGAGCCATTTGTAGCCTTAAAATAAAATATATTCAAAAGCAAAAATTTAAGCATTTTAGACTTTTTATAAATTCCACACCAAGAAGATGAAATCTCCTTGATAATAGAAAATATGAATGATGTGAATCTACATTTTATGCCTTTTAAAATAACTTTTACAAAATATTTTCATAGATGATAATGGCTTTCCATAAATTTTGAGTCCAACTTACCGATAAGTTCAACTTAAGATCTTTGTGAAACACCCCCCTGGATCTGATTAGCAATGAAGAGAAATTTGTAAGCATTATAAAACTTGAGAATGAAAAAATAATTGATCACTTCTGTAATTGTATTAAAACAATCATAAATACTCGAGGGGAATTTTAACATCCTATTTTTTTTATTATTTAGAACATCAATTAGGAAATTCTCATTCCCGTTTGTTATGTATCTTTATTGTCAAACATAGGCTGGTAAGTGTCATAGAATTATTTGTTATAGTATCATTTACCACATTCAAGCTATCGGTACAATGTTTATTGTTAATTTGTGATTACTTGAGAAACTATACCACTTGTTGGAGACCTTTCAGATAAGTTAGTGTGTTGTCCTAGGCCTGTCTTCTAAAGAGTCGCGATCGATTCAAACCAATCACAAAGGGACCTGGGCCCCGTCTTATAAAGAATTGATATTGTTTGCGATTGATATCGATCGCAACTATGCACATGAGAGATAGGAGACTGCAAACCTGCGATTGATTGGAGGACTTGCGATTGATTACGATTTAATCGTAACTCTTTATAAGACGGGGCCCTGATGAACCATACAAATGTAAAAGTAAATATTTTCCACTGTTCACTTGACGATGCTCTCTCTTTTCATACAGAGAAACATGGCTTCAATGGTGCGGACTTACATGATGCTATGTATAGCAGGCCTGGTTGTCACAATATGTATCCTCATGGTGATGTACAACGATACCGGCTCGGATGTCAGGGAAATGGTCGTCAAGGTCGATGCTTTGTCTGATGGTGCCCCACCGTAAGTAATGATGGTGGTGGTGGTGGTGGTGGTGGTGGTGGTGGTGGTGGTGGTGGTGGTGGTGTTAGGGTGGTGATGGTGGTGGTGGTGGTGGTGGTGGTGGTGGTGGTGGTGGAAGGGATGATGATGGTGTTGGTGATGATGGTGATGATGATATTACTACTACTAATAATAATAATACGAATATTAATAACAAAGTCAATTATGTAGCGTAATTGCCGGCGTAAAGGCCGCAGTATTTTTGGAAGAGAAATTATCGGAAAGTTGGGGTGCAGCCCTTGCGCCGAAAGAGTAAAAAAAAAAAAAAAAAAAAAAAAAAAAAAAAAAATCGCAAGTTCAAAACCATGAAAAAATAGCACAAGTTTGTACATATGGGACTACAATAACTATACCACTATGGTACAGGACATTTCCACACATCTTACTGACAATTTTATCTTGCATTGCTGACATGAAGACGAAAAAAACTTCATAAAACAATTACATCTGCCAATAGATCTTGATCTAAGTTTGTGCCAATGCATCACTAAAAAGTAAAAGAAGGGACCATTATGGAGCTGCCGTGAGCACCATCGCGCATCCAGCCGAAGTCACACCAAATCTATTTTCTGGTCTTTGTATCCATTTCATGCAATTTTGCATTACACCGTACATTGTGGTAAATCTGCCTGCGATCATTTTTAGGTAAACTGCTTGCAATTTATAAGAATATTGATGAATATGGTATCAGTTTGTAAAAAAAAAAAAGTGTTCTACAAGAAAATTATGATTATTTTGTTTGGTCCGTTTGTTTTGTTTTTGTTTTTTTATTCCTCTTTGAAATGTCAAATTTGGGGTGCGGCCTTATCGCCGGCAAATACGGTATATACACTGTACATGTACCGCTCTTACACATATTAAATGGTTCCACAGCGCTTCGCAGGGTTCAAACATTCAACGATAATCATTGAACAGGGGAGTTTTGAGAGCCTTCTTGAAAACATCTATCGAAGGAGACAGGTGGACAGATCATGGCAGGTCATTCCAAAGTCATGCTACAGAGGCCTGAAATGCATTATATCACCAGATTAAAAATGTTTAGAGGATACCAAACTTCATTGCATGGCTACAGATGTAAATTATGACAATCGTATGTTTTGCTTTATCAGCACTTTTCAACACTTTTCAACACTTTTCAACCTGTTTTTCTAGTCCTGCCACCCCAGTCCCCAAATCACAGAAGATTCATTTTCCAAAACTCTGGCACTTGTCAAGTGCCATGTACATTAGTATGGGCTAAAGTTTAAAGATGAAGTTGAGTTCTGGTCATGCGATTGCATTGTGAAAGAAACGGTGTGGAATCGACCAGAAAAGGTTGATCATCTAGCATAAGAATTTGTGTGTATTTCTGGAATCATCAAAATGATAAGAAATTTGGCCAAGTCTTGGTAAAGTTACAAACACTGTACACAGAAAGATGCATATGGGACTACACAAACACCTGAGTTTTACGATATTACATGACATATTTAGAATATGAAGGCATTTGAAGAGCCATTCTTTTCAGGGAACATGTCTTATCTGATGTTCTTCCACACTTGCATACCATAAGAATGATAACGCTCACAAATTATTTCTCACCTCTTCCCAGAACTCAACCTTCTCTTAAAGTCATTTCATTTCATTTCATTTATTCAACCAGTATAAAAAAAACAAGTATGTGCATATTTCTTTCTAAATTTTGTGGGTGAGCAAAGCCAGCAAGCGAGACCAAAAGATATCTTTAATGTGGTAATATCTTAATAAGAACCATTAGAGATAGTAGCGTCAAACTTGGTGATAGTACACGTGTCACGTTCATGTACATGTATGTATCACAGTCACCGTAGGCATAGGAAGACAGTTTCATTAGGTTTATTAGGTATTGAGTACATGTCGGTCAAAATTCACAGAGATCAATTTCTGAAATTTAAGGTTTTTAGCTTTGCTATCACAACATATGGTGATGGTATAGAAGATGGTCCAGTTACATGTACATTTTGGCTTGTAGGTCAAGAATTAGATCATGACCATCGGTTCACATTTGGTTATAGGATTTTTGTTTTCACTGTGGAGACATATATACACTGTACCTGTAGGAGACGCAGTTGCATTTGTCTTGTTTTACTGTTGTTCTTTTAATTTGTATGAGAATTAATTGAATAATTATGCCAAAACTATTCGATCCAATATTGAAGTTTAGAATTCGATCAGGGTAGGAAATTTACCAAGTAGCAGCTGTCACAGGCATATATGTATTATATATTCAGTTACAGTACATCGTACACTATAGATAGGATTGTTTACATGAATACCACACTGTGTGTACTTTTCGACTTAGGGTGCGTTCAAGCGATTTTTTAAAGCTAGAATCACAAAAATGAATCCCAAATCGAAACGCTGTTAAAAAACATGGTGACAGCGGGAGATCGTCAAGTGATTTCCCATCAACGCTGATTCTCGCTCATTTCAAGCCCAACTACTGCACATCACATGGGGCAATTTGACCCAGGAAGTATAGGTCAACTTCGGCGCTGTTTACGGTCTACTGTCTGCAAAACCGGAAGCAGGCCACGATAATGACGTCATAGAATCATGATTGAGATCTCTGATTCGTTCAAGCAATTTTTAGCGGCCCTGATTCTGCAGAACGTTACAAAACGCATCTTTTTCAGCGTTTCATGTTTGCATTTCGAAACACGTTTATTTTTACCACCGGCGAAAAATCGCTTAAAATCGCTTGAACGCAACCCTGTTTTAAACTAAACGTCTTTGAAAACTGTGTTTCTAGGGTGAAAAAGTGTCCCTTGAACGCACCCTTAATTACCCGGCATTGTTTGTACAGTGGAGCTCCATGTATAGTATCTGTAATTAATAATGTAATATGAGAAGAATTCAGGATGAAAGCTTAATAGTACATATACCTGTACACTGTTGATTAGTACTGGTTGTACTAGTTATGCAATCAAAGTACATTGTGAAAGAAGTTGTTTGGGGTCAATCAATTGGGAAACGTTAATTATTTACAATGAGACACATAGAAGTCAGCTCTCATGGGGAATTCGACACCATTCTGGTGTTTACCCAATAACAGGTGTGGTCAATCACCAGGGTTAGCCTTCAGTTTTTATGACCATTAGACCTTATGTAATGCTTTGCTTTTCCCTCACCCAAAGACTCTCAAGCTCTCCTCTCGAGCTCTCCGAGAGATTAGGGGGTAATTCTTGACTGGCCTACGGGTTCGCTGTGTGCAGATTTGTACTCCCATTAGTAATATTTCCACCAAGTCTGGTGTCAGCGAATTATGGCCTTCTGCACATGGAAACTGAGAGTGACTCCCTTTAAAGGCCCACTGCACTACTTGCAGGTACTTGCGCCCTCTATATAACAAACAAAGCCTAATTGGTGACCATTGCTCCCCCATGATCCTCTTTTTCTTATGTTAACTGAGAGCTGAGTTGATGAGATAACCACCTGTCCAGTGACCTTGCAGGGCAGTCTAATCCCTCCTATAAACTACGGCAGATAAGCTTTCAAGCCACTAGTATCAGGGATTCGCAAGCCTTTAAAGGTAAAGACCAATTTTGGAAGCGCCCCCTCTCAAAAAATGAAATGGAAGCTCTTATTGCCAATTATGTGAAAGAATATGTTTTGACTAATACGTGATCATATAAAGTCTGCAGAGAAATTGCCTACTAATTGATATACTGGGTAACTTATTATTTAGACTTGATAGATATAATGCACGTGTCGCGCATTTGTGTGGGGGTAGTCCAATATACATCTTTCTGTGTACAATGCTTGTAGCTTTATCTGGGCCAAATTTCTTATCATTTTGATGATTCCAGAACCTTGCAGTACACACCAATACTTATATGCTAGATGATCAACCTTTTCTGATCGATTCCACAACGTTTCTTTCACAATGCAATCGCATGACCATATTAAACTGGTTTTTATCTTTAAAACGCCAAAAAGAGTCTTGAATCCAGGCTAGCTATAGTATGGTATGGCAAATGGTAAACTGAAGTAGCAAGCAGTGTCAAATGCAGGCCATCCATCATATGTTTTACACAACTTTCACAGACTGTCAAATTAGTCTTGAGTTGCAGACCTCAGTGTTACATGTAGTTTTAAGTATTCATTCACAGCACTGTTGTACTGTACTCTACAGGCAACCCGTAAAGTAGGGTTTTTATAACACAATAGTCTATTGGAGAAAATAGGTAAAACCAGTCACTCAAAGATTCTACATTTTTTGAAGTGCAATTTTCTTAGGACTTCAATACATACATGTACCGGTACCACAGACACTGATAACACGTATAGGGCCATGCATCTCAGATTTAACATTGTTAAACGATGCCTTTAAAGATAAAGTTGAGTTCTGGTCATGTGATTGCATTGTGAAAGAACGGTGTGGAATCGATCAGAAAGGCGGGTTGATCATCTAGCATATTGGTGTGTACTGCAAGGTTCTGGAATCATCAAAATGATAAGAAATTTGGCCCAGTCTTGGTAAAGTTACAAGCACTGTTCACAGAAAGATGTCTATGGGACTAAACATGCACGGCATAAAAATCCATCCCGATTTGTATGCTGTTACATGTACATGTACATGCCATATTTAGAAGAGCCATGCTTTTTAGGGAACATTTTTAATCTGATGTTCTTCCACACTTGTATAATAACAATGATAATGCTCACAAATTATTTCCACTTCTTCCCAGAACTCGACCTTCTCTTTAAGCATACATGTACGTTCATGTATTACTGGATTTCTTATTTTGCTCCTTATATTTAACACACAAGTGAGTACATGTACACTGTAGGACCATTGCTGCATGCTGTAGCTACAATGTGCATCTTTTCTTCCACACTGTTATCATTAATTTTACAACAGTTAAAACCGCCATGGTGAACCGCAGCGGTGGGCGAGCCATATGAGGATTGTGTGCACAACTAAGCAATGAAAAAGCTAG